CGGCCGGCTCAGTCCTTTGTTGCCACCAGTGATAGCAGCTGGGCTGCTGAGAAGACCTTGCGGGGCAGATGGTGACAGCAGGGAGGTGGATGTTCACCGCTTGAATATTAGCTCCCAGAAAGCTGAGAGCGCATCTCTGCTTAGACCGTGCTGCTAGGCAAAGAACAAGCTGAAGTCTGCTGATTTTGTGCAAGGAAAGCAGATCCGTTCCGGTTGTGCCTGTAAAAATTCAAGTGTTTAATGACATGACTTTTATTACAGTGAATTCTGAAGGCTGAATTAAAAAGTTATACGTTTGTAGTGACACTGTCTACCTTACGTTTGCAAAGATGATTCTTTGGGTTTAATAGATTCAGGTTCTACCTGTTACATTTTTGTGGGGCCTTTTTACTTCTGGAGAAACGGCCTGCCAATTTATTTTTAGTTTATTCTGATAATTTCTAAATTTTAAGAGGAAAATGCTGTGGACTCAACATGCATTAGTGCCATAGATGTATTGATGAAGTGTTTAAGTGATCTGCAATGCTGAAGTCTGCACTATGTTCTTTGAAAAGTTCTAAATATCTTGCTGTTTGTAAAGGGAGTAACAAGCTGCAGTTTACTGATCTTTTTGACCTTTGCCATTGCTTCTTGTATTAATGTTGTAAATGGCTTTTTAAAAATATTTGTTTTGGTAAAACATTATTCTTGCTAGGATGTAATATTTCATCATGGAAATCCTTATTTGTTTTGTGAAGGAGGAGCTCAGAGAACTTCGTGAAGAGCCAGTTGATCCTCAAGCTCAGCAAGAAATAATTAACAGCATTGAAGAAGTTTATTTTTCCAATGATTCCTTTGATATTGTGAAGTATGAGTTGGAGGTAAGCTGTCTTCTTAAAAGACAGTAACATAACAAAAAAAAAATGAGAGTGAAAAGTATGCTTGTTTCAATGAGCTATTTTTCATTTGGTTTCTTGTATCTTGCATTAATACATAACTGTACCTTTCTGCCTCATCTTGTGGTTGTGTGGAGCTTCTGGTACATAGCATTGATATGGAGTCTCTTCTTTTAACATCATAGAATTAATACCAATTTTGCTACCAGACACTTCATAATTTAAACTGTAGTGAAAAAGACAAAATGGAGAGGAAAAAAATCCATTTTATATTTTGCATATTTTTTTAGCAAACTAAGATGTAATGATTTCAATGATTAGAAGTATTGTGTGCATACATATATGGCTTAAAATAAGGTAATTTTGAGGCAATTATTATACTATGTGTTGTAATTACGAAAATACACTGTCTATCTTAACATTGGTTTATTTCAGTATTCGTCATTCAAAATAATGGGTTAATTCTGCATCTCAAACTGCAGAAGCAATAAGAATGTTTCCTCAATAGAACTGATTGGTTAGTTAGTACTATATGTGCATTTAACATCATTTAATTTCTTACTGAGTTTAATTTGTTGTTTACATGCAGAGGCTTCCTCCAGTACTTAGTCTTCAAGAACTGGAAGAGTACAGAGACAAGTTAAAACAACAGCAGGCTGCCGTAAGTAGTTTCCTGCATACCGTCAGGCAGTTTGTTGTATTGCCTTTAAGTCTAGCCAGAAACGAAGCTGAAAAAGTTTTGATTTCTTAAATACAATAGATACTAAGCCTTTCTTTCTTTTAATGTTATGTTGCATGCTTTTGTAGTAGAAAATCATATTAGTAAGTCATGTAATCATATCAAATCATGGAAGTAAATCTTGGTGATAAATATTATAACAAGGAGTAAATGTGCTAACTATATCCCTAGAAGCTTTGATTTTCTGAATGTTCAGCTTTTCCTATGTATTGCAACAGAAGCCATGTTCAATACAGTGCTGAAGAGTGTGGTAGTATCTCTTTTTTTTTTGAGGGATTTCTGGGAACATAAAACATAGAATGTTTTAAAACCTCTTTCCTTAGAGTTGATATTTTCTTTTATTTCTTCATTTGTCAATTTGTTAATCATCCATGAAATACCGGTGCAGAGTTACTACCTAGTAAAACAAAGGAATTGTAACAATGAGTAATAACTATTATTTGTGAGGGGAAATCTGAGTTGCATCTTCTGAAAGGCACTTGCTAGATTTCAGGCCTTTTTTTTTTTTTCTATTCGTATATAAATTATTGATTCACTGCTCTTTTTAAAGATGAATAATATGGTACAGGAAAGAAATGTATTAACTGTTGCATTTGGAGAGTGTCTGCAAGTAAAATAATTGATAATCCTAATTCATGTCTTTAAATGGTTGAAATGTACAGAGGAATATATTGGATTGTTAGCAATACATAGAGAACAAGTTCCTTCTGCCTAAGACTGCTTTCCCCAGAATAAACCTATAAACCTATGAAATTTTGTATGGTATTAGAAGTTGGGCAAATTAATAATCCATGTTCCTCACCAAGATGTAGAAGGAAGTTAAAAGTGGGTGGTGGGTTTTGATTTCATCTTGATATTTTTCTTTTTTAAAGTTAGAGAACATTTGGTGGTGATCTAGTTTTTCAAGGAAATACACTTAACCGAGATACACTGAATAATCCCCATACCTGTTATCCATGTCTTGGCCATTCTGCATCCACAATTGGAATCAGCTGCATCTAGGGGAGCAGTTTGAGGGCAAAACTGCTGCTGCAACATGTGACCTGAAAGGGCATGCAGCTGATGAGTGAGAATGGAGCATGGAATTTCCAGTACATATGGCCCAGATGTATCTTCCTTTTAGAAAACAAACAAAAACTCTGAACACCAAAACTTTTGATGAGAAGCATGTGTCCAGTTCTTCCCTATCCATCCCACCTCAGTCAGGATTGGACCTGCCTCATGTCTCCCTTAATCTAGTCTAAGTGAGACTCTGCTATAGGAAGGAATTGTTGTTTGGTCCCCCCACCCTGGGGCATGTGCTGAGTTGCTAAAATTTCTCGTATGCTGTATATCGTATCCTTGTGTCCTGTTTCCAGGGGGAGTGTGAGAGACTGTTGTGTGTTTGCTTCTCCTGTCTCAGTATCAATCAATATCAGTACTGCAGAATGTTGTATGTTAGTTCTGTCCTAAAAGTATTTCAGTGCTGATTGTGAATAGATGATTTGACCGAGGACTCAAGAAGTCTGTGGGCAGATCACACGGTAGCTCTGTGTTGAAAAGAATAAGTACAGCCTTTTTCACTTCAGTGCCTGTGTAGCTGGCATAGGAATTATGTTTTATAGATAATTCCAACTTCTAAATTTCTGTAACACAAAATACTCAAATGGGTGTGAGTTATGGGTGATAGAGCTCTGATCTTCCACTTCTCAATGACTGTTGCCATCTGCTTTTGCACAGCTGATCTTGGTCATGCCTTTGTTTTCAGGGTCACTATAGACTCTATTTTCTGTAGTTTTCCTATTAGTTTTCCATTCCATTGGAAGACTTCTTTAATATGTGTCATGACAGCTTCAATTTGTCTCACTGTCTTGGTACAGACCATTTGGATTAAGAGCCTTTCTAGTTGTATGTCTGTTTGACTCCTTTTTAATTAGTAAACTGATATCCTGAGCTGCACTTTTTTTTTTCTTAAGAAGATAAATATTTTTTTTCCCTTGATGTGATTAGGAAAGAGAATATTATTGTGGAGAAAATTGTTTTGGTCTCCTCAAAGAACATTGCTGTTTGCATGCATTGATAACTGCAGTCACATTCATTGCTAACAATTATATTTCTGCATTCCAAAACTTAAGAGTCAACATAAATGTATGGAATATGAATGGAAGTAACCTGGGATAAAATCAGTCATCCAAAAAAAAAAAAAAAAAAAAAAAAAAAAGTAGTATTACTAAGCTCAGGGAGAGAAAAAAAAATAAAAAAAATAAAGATTGTGACAGATGCTTGACAGTGTTGAGGTTGTTATTAATCAAGGGTAACTGAGAATCTGCTAAACAAAAGCAGTGCAAAAACTAAAAGTGAAACTCATCTTTTATTCATGTGTACTGCTTGATGAATCCCTTTAACAGTGAATCAAACTGATAGATTTGTACTAAGGCAATGCATGACTAGATGGTTTATCCCTGTTGTGGTTTTACAGGTACAGGGCTAGTGGGAAGAACAGGGTGGAAAAGGGAGGTTAGAATTCCACAGCAGTGGAATACACTGTGTAGTGAACAAAACTTCCTTAGAGCCTGAAGGTCCTGTAAGTTTGAGTAGTGTTTGGCTTGACAACATCCTTTCCTGCACCCACCCTGCTCTGGAGTGGTTCTTTTGCTGTCCTGCAGAAGAAAGCATTATTATTTTTAGAACATCTAAGAGGTTTTAAAGTAATTTTGTGATTATGGCTGTTTTTTAATGTGGAAGGAGGAAGGCATAGCTAGGTAAGTACTCCTTGTCCAAATTGCCAGCTGATGTTATCAGAGTACTTTGAAGATCATCAAGAGTGCAGGTGCTCAACCAGAGGATAGGAACAGACCTGGTAGAGCCTCTGTAAATTTGTTACAGGAATGCTGATTGAAGATCCCAGCTTTGTGCTGTGTTTGACTAAGCAGTCAAATACATAAAAACCTCCTCATATCTCTTTCCCAGCAGTGCATTGTGGGCTGGCTGACTGTCAAAGCCAGTTTTATTTTATTTCCATTTCTGGCAATATTGTTCTCCAAGAAGTATATAGAGAATACCAATAATTTCTTTGTCATCTTTGAATCTGTTTCTTCTTAAGTATTTGTAGTCCCTGCTGAGACAAAACACGTTATTCTGAGGCTTGCATTTACGTCTGTTAGTGTTGGATCTCTTTTGATGATGTTTGCACACAAGAGACTGATCAAGGTGGCAATGCTCATTTTTAAATTGAGTACAGACAGCACTGTTGTAACAGGCACCTAGGCAGGGGCCGGCGCTGGGACGATCTGGCGATGTAAGGGAAAGCTCAGACTGCCCACGAGGGGCGCTGTGGGCGGGGCTTGCCATAGATAAGCAATTGCAGCGACGCAATAGACGCCGTTTGCTGCGTCCTCTGCATTGGAGCCTGTGTCTTGATGGCCCCCAACGGCAGAGGTTGAGGTGCCGCGATCCAGGCTCCGAGTGTTGGCGACAACACAGCACCTTTCAGTATCATTCCACTAACTCTTAGTTCAGAACAATGGAGAAAATTTTAAAATATACATGTTCTGCATGCTAGAGAAAAGATATGATGTACTCAGGATTGAATATTCAATTTGACGTGGATTTTATTTATTATGATGTCAGCCTGAAATCTAAGTGTCCTTATGGCTTTCTTAGATCTCCATGGTAGATGGTTGTCTTGAATTTGTCCTCTAAATTTATACGTAAGTAGAATGTAAAAACTTGCAGAGTCACAGATTATTTCTGTTTTCTATACTGCTGTGTTCCTTTACAAGCACAGAGGTAAAGGACTAATTTAAAAATGCCCACTAGTTCCTTGATGCAACTGTAAACATTTTTCTTATCTTGTTCCTAAGGAAAGCTTATTGTAATTTTCAGGATTTTTCACCTTGTTGTGACACATTTATTAATAAATTTGAGAACTACAGAACTAAATACAGAATCATAAATGTGTTGTAAAACTTCGGTAGGGATGACTTCATTGAGTTTGCTACGTATCACATACAATGTTATTCTTTTTAAGGTCTCTAAGAAAGTTGCAGACTTGATTCTTGAAAAACAGCCTGCGTATGTTCAGGTAAGACAATTAACAGTCACTTCTTCAGAGTAAACCATTCCTTTTTGTGCTGTTACAATGCTGCAGTTTTGTCACTGCGGATTAAATCTAGTAATTTTTTAGTAGAGATGCTCGTGCCTGGTTGGAAACAGGTGTCGGTGTATGTTAAACCTGTTTCTGCAGAGTGAAAAGACCAAAGGTGTATTGAGCTGGAGGCCCTTAGGGTGATAAAGAATTCTGCACATGAGCATTTTAAGAAGGCTTTCTGAAAACATGAATTCACAAGCTTGACTAATACCTACAACGGACTTGAACAGGAGCTTCTGTTGTGCCTGTGTTTAAGAATGGTTTCAGATCATTTTCCCTAAGACAAGACAGTGGTGACCTTGCTTAAGAGCACTTAAGCAGAAACCTGCCTTTAATCTCAGTCAATTTTGAGAAGAAAACATCTAAGAGAAGACTGAGCTGGAATGAGCCTTGACATGTCAAGAGTCTCTGAGGGCCAAACAAAGCAAAAGCACTTTAACTGCTTGCAGTAGAATATTGGCATGGCTTCTCTTCTTGCTCCCAAAACATAATAGAAGCAGCTGTTGTAATGATTCTTTAAAGAGAAGGTGTTTTTTTTCTTAGCCATTTATTTTTAATAATGCCTCTGTACATCTTATCAGCTCTGCCTGATTTTATCTGATCTTTCCAGGAAATAATAGTAAGAATTCTGTGACGTTACCAAAACAGTCTGAGAATTATCCTTTGGTGGATAATTCTGTGTGTGTACAGCCTGTTGTATAAGCATTGTCATACCAGTGATTATGGCAATTCTCGCTTTGGTCAAGAAGCCTGGAGAGAGTTTGGGAGGGCAGTGATGGCTGTGTTTGGTGGTGAAGGGCTATTTTTTTTTTTTTTTCCCCTCACCTTTCTCGTTTCCTCTCCGCTCTTTCCTCCTTCACCACCTTCTTGTTAAATTCCTCCCTTCCTTGCCTCCGGCTTCTCAGCTGATACACTGTTGCTGCAGGCTAGGGCTTGTACCTCCTAGTTTTAACCCATGTTAGATGTCATGGAGCTGGAATTATTTACTTTCTTTCACCTCTCTGGATGGCACAACTTCGTCTGCTCACTTGTGCTCATGGCTCACACATCTAGCCTTAGTGAGTTTTCAAGGTTCCTATCTGTGCTTTAGCATTTCGCTGGGTAGGAGAAGTGCTACTGTTTAAAGAAAATGGTGAGTGAGCACTGCTTGCATCATTTTCTACAATAGCTGGTGGAAGAAAAAAGCTGTGAAGTCACTATTATTTCAGTTTTAGTTAAAGGAATCAGGTGGGAGGCTGTTGCAGAAGGAGGCTGGGTAAGTGCTACAGTGGTTGAGTCCTCATAAGACAGCATATAGAGGGACAGAAATGAGAGTTGTGCCAAATCCTTCTGGTAAGTTCTGCTGTTGTGCATGTTCAGAATTTATGTTGAGCAAACGATGGTTTTTCTGAATCCAGGAACTTCACTTTGAGGCCCTTTGAAACAATGCATGATACTGTGTACTGTGGACAATGTTCTTCTTGCATTTTGCTGTGTAATGTTAATATTCTTATTCCAGCAACATCTTAGGGAAATACATGTGTTTTATACCAAGAAGTTCTTTCATATACTCCAAAGGGACAGTTAAGTATCCATCATGCCAGTAGGAATCTTTTGCAAACATTTAAGGCAAATAAATATTTATTTTGCAAACATTTAAGGCAAATAAATATTTGCCTTAAATCAGTAATCCTTCAGTGTTACTTACAGGCACAGGCTTGCACAGAGTTATTCTTGTCAGTAGATTTACTTCTCAGAGATTTCTAGTGGTCATCATAGGACTCACTTTCTTATTGACTCATGAAACGAAGCTCCTGATGTGCTGTGGGTACTTGGTAATGGCAGCTCCAGTTCAGCATCCAACTACAGTAACAGGTCATTAGAAGAAGCAAAAATGCAGTGGACGCTTTGTCTCATGGACACATTGTTTCTACTGTGCCAAGGAAGGTGTAGGGAATTTAGTTTTCGTTCCTGGTATGAAGTATTGCTCTAACAGGCTCTACAGTGGGCTGAGAGAGGCCTGGCACAGACACGAGGCAAGGGATTTAGAGTTTTCCCTTCTCCTTAGAAGGAAAGGCATGCTTTAGGAACAGTCAATGAGTGGAGGACTGTGTTTAAAGACAGAAGAAAATGTATTCAGCCCCAGGTGCTGGACGGAAGAGTCCCTGGGTGGGTACCTGGAGGCTGGACTCTCTCTGTGTGCCTCTCCATCCACTCATGTTCAAAGGAGAGATTTTACAGCATCTTTGCAAGAGGCAAGGCTGGAATGGAGTCGCTACTTAGTGTTTGTGTTTCCTCATGAAAAAGGGAACAATGGACTTCTAAATAGCTCTGATTTTTGCAAAGTATGTTTTTGTGAGAAGCAGGTACTGAGGAAAGTGATAGTCAAATTTTGCTTCTTAAGCTGTTACGCATACTAGCAACTGAGGTATCGCTTTTCCAAAAGTAGAGTTGGTAACCTAAAGGAGGAACTGGTTTTGCTGAAAGATGCGGCTCAGTGATTTGCCAGAATTGCTTGGAACTTTGGAAACTGAGCAGGAGGTGATCATAAATGGAACTAAACTTTAAACTTGTTTTTGCTTGTCATATTTTTAGAAGTAGATCAGTATTCACAGTGAAAGTCTCCCTTCTACCCATGAAAGTCTCCTTTCTACCCATGGAACGTGCTTGGCATGTTTTCAGATTATAAGCAGTATTTTAAAAAAAAAGTGTGTGGGTTTTTTTTTTTTTCTTTAATATACACTTTTCTTCAGTACTGTTGCTAACAAAAGAAATCCGAATAGGTATTTAAAAAAAACATTTTTTTTTTTTTAAAAGGAGTTGAGATTCTGGTAGGCACTGTGTGAAGTCCAAACCAAGGTAAATTCAGGTCATCAGTGCTGAAGAGTTTTCACCTGAAATTCAACAAGATACAATTAAGGTTCATTATGAAGTGGCAGCTATTAAACTGGTAGAACACAAGTGCTTCTAATCAAGAAAATGCTCTGTGAAACATGGTCTTTTTTGTGTTGTTTTGCGGCTTTCTGGCACATCAGTGTAAATTAAACTGTGCTTCTGTCCCTGAAGCTTTGATCATTCTCCTGTGGTGCATTAATAGCATAGTGATTCTTAGGCTAAATGTACAGTATATAAATGTAGAGGGTCCCACTGCAATGAAAATGGATTTCAAATGTCTTTCTTCAAAAGAGATTTGTATCTTCAAAGATAGTTTATATTAATTTTGCATTCCAGTGCTTAGCATATATAAAATGATGAAGCAAATAATATATGAAGTATCTCTACAAAGTCACTAGAACATCTCAAGAGAAACCTATGAATCACTGGTCTTTTCTGGTGTGTAGCACACTTTAACTTGTGTACTTATTTAAGCTGTTGTCTCTCTCTAGGAACTTGAACGTGTTACATCATTGCAAACTGGCCTTCAGGTAGCAGCCGTTATTTGCACGAATGGAAGAAGGTATCTTGCTTATATAATGGCAGAGATTGAAAGGAGGAGAAAGTGTTTATGAAGAAATCTGTAAACCCAGGAAGTTTGCTTGCTGCTGATATTTCCTATTTCCAGTTGCAAAATGGAATTAGCAGTAGAGGTTAAAGATGCTGAAACAAATACCAGCTGCTTTCTCTCTTCCAGCTCTCACTGTTTCAACTGGGAGTTCTCTTTAAAACTGGAACCTTTTGTGATAGACCATTGATCCACAGATGAGTTCTGCAGAAGGGAAGATGTACCTTCATAGTAGTCTGTTGGTCTCATCCCATTTTCTGCATTTCCTTAACAATGCTGCTAATCTTATTTTCGAGCATATATTTTGATGGACATGTTAGAATTTATTAGAAATAAGTTATTTTACATATCGTCAAAGATCATATCCATTTTAACTTTTACAGACACCTGAATATAGCGAAGGAAGGCTTCACACAAACTAGTTTGGGGCTTCTTGCAAACCAAAGGAAAAGACAGCTGCTTATTGGACTGCTGAAATCTCTAAGAACAATAAAAACACTGGTATGTACAGTTATTTTTGTTTAGTGGCAAAATGTTTTTCTTAATTTCTGTTGTAGTTATCACTTGTTTCTGTTTTTGTTTTTTTTTTTTTAGCAAAGAACTGACGTGCGTTTGAGTGAGATGTTGGAGGTAAGTCTCTGTCAGACTATTATAATTTGAAGCTATTCTAAGTCTACTTTAGTCATCTTAATTTTGTTCCTTCTTTCCTTCTTCTCGCAGGCAGGCAGTGGGTGTGTGCATGTGGTGAAACTATGTTTTTATTCTTTTTTTAAATGTTATGAGAAATACTTCATATCAGATTAGACAGCCCCTGTGATGGGGGAAGTGTTTTCTGTCAAAGACTGAATTCTGCCCTTAGATCTGAAGCCTGAAGTAGTTCAGTAAGAATGGTGTGGAGTCTTTACTTTCCTCCCCACTCCTAACTTATAATTCTTTTCTGGCCTTAGCTTGGTATTTGGAAGAAAAGAGAAAATGAGATTTAGCTGATTGTTGTTATGCTGCATCTGGATACTACTAGTACTTCTATTACTGTACAAATTTATATGTGGGCTCTCTAGTGTTTTATTTCTAAGTGTAGTAGCTTCTCTCCTTATTTGTTTGGTTGGCTTTTTAGTAGTCAGTTGCAGGAAATATTGCAGCATGCTGTCCATGACACTGAAAATTCTACTGATATGGTAGATATACTGCCTGAAAATGCACTAGACACTGCATGGAGCAAAAGTAAAATCTTGTTTTAATGTGATTAATTGTGTGAAGGACAGCTTCAGGATTATATTGACAAATATATTTTAATAGTGTAGTGTAAAAACTTTTGACTTGCTAATTTGCCAAATATTTGCACCTAACATTGGATGGAACATGATTATGGTAATCTGTAACTACTAAGTTTGGAAACTGAGTCTTAATAATTTTAATTCTTAAGGTTCTTTGAGTTTAATTCTGTCTTGAGTAATACATCGTGTCTCGGCCCACTTCTTATTCTTTACCAAGTAAGAATGTATTAAATTACAGGCTGCATAAACATTGCCTTCTGCTCAGTAAACCCTGCATAATGGGTTAGGTTTTCATTTCTGTGCTGTCTTTTGTTGCACAGGAGAAAATCTCTTCACTCTTTACGGGTAGGAGATGTCTTTGGACAGAGGTGCGGGTGTTACATTCATACACAGATCCTAATGTCTGCTTACCACAATTTGCCAGTGATTTCTAAATATTAAGGGCTGGAGCTGCCCTTTCTGGCTAAGTGCAGTTTTAGAGCTGTGCTCAATGTCTGCTCCCAGCAAGGTATCCCAGATATTGGCCAATTTATTGTCTTTACTGTGGAAGTTAGTAGCTTGGAACATGCATGAAAGCGATTAGTAGCCGTTCAGAGAGGAACATTTTAGGTAGTGTTCCCAATTAGAAAAAGGCCAGGTGCAGAGCTCTAATAATTTAGGGAGGTGAGCTGCATATGAGGTGTCATCGCTCATCATGTGTTATGCAGGCAGGCTCTCTGCTCTCAGCTTTGTTAGACCTAATGGAGCAAGTACCAGGTTTCCAAGGGAGAAAGATGCAAAGAGCTGTAAATGCAGGAATCATGTTAGACCAAGGTACTGTTCTGTTTTCATCTAATGGATAATGTATACGGGTTTTTTGGTTTTTTTTAGATGCATTAGAATGCTGTTGTTAAAACCAATTTCATTTCAGAAACTCCTTTATAATAGCTGAATATAAACTGCTCCTGCATTTTTACTCTTCAGTCAATGACTCTGAAATTCCAGTAATAACTTTGTGTCGTTACCGACACCCGATCC